CGCCCCCGCGGGGGGGACCTGTCCCCCCCCACCCCGCTCCCGACCCCATCCCCTGTCACACGTGCGTGTGCAACTGCACAAGCAGGTGATGCCCACCGATGAGGTCTTGCGCACATGTGTGTGAGGGCATGCCAGGCCCTCGTGAAGGCACACGCACACATGCTGCCCACCGACCCTTTGCGTGTATACTCACACGCATGTGCAATTGCATACCAGCCCATCACACACTTGCCCATACATACATGTGTGGTTGTAGACCATGAGCTTGCACAAGCATGTGTTGCTGCACACAGGCTGCTGTGCACAGACCACACGTGTGCTATTATTCATGCACTTGTCCCTGCCAGCGTGTTGCACGTGTATCCACATGTGTATTCACACACTCACGTGCAAGAGCACTCACATACTATCTCTTGTGTAGGCACACATAAGGCTGTCTTGTGTGCGTGCACCATGGCACACCAACCCATTGCACACCTGTGCTCCCCTGTGTGTGCTATCACAGATACACACGTGCCATTGCACACCAGCCTATGGTGCACACACGTGTGGTGCTGATGCCTACAAGCTTGTTGTACACTTACATATGCGGTGTTGCACACTCACCTGTGGTGCACACTCACACTCCACCACCCTATAGTCCATCTGCCCACTCATATGAGTGGGCTGTTGCACACCAGGACACAGTGCACACACTCACGTGTGCGTGCTGTTGCACAGCAACCTGTAGCTCACGTGCACATACACATTTATGTGTAATTGCACACTGACAGCATGCTGGTGCACACCCATACATGTGTCTTTGCACACCAGCGCCTGGTGCACCCCCACATGTGTTATTGCACACCAACACATGACGCACATTCACATGTGTTGTTGCACACTAGCACCTGGTGCAAACCCACAAGTGTCTTGACATAAGCACATGGTGCATCCTTACACGTGTGTAGCCAACATGAGGTGTACACATGCTCGTGTATGCATGTCATTGCACACTGGTGTATGGTGCACATTCACATGTGACATTGCACACTCACATGTGTCATTGCACACTAGCACCCGGTGCACACCCACATGTGCACCATTGCACAGTTACACGTGGCGCACACATGCTCACACGTGTGCCATTGCCCACCAGTGCATGTTGCACACTGACACGTGTCCTTGCACACTAGTCCCTGGCACACACCCACGTGTTTTATTGCACACCAACCCCCGGTGCACCCTCACACGTGTCCTTGCACACCCGTCGCACACTCACAACACGCGCACACGTGTCTCTCTCTCTCACTCACTCACTCACTCACACACACACACGCCACCCACAGAAATACAAAAAGTCTGTGCCACGCTCCGAGAACCAGGGGCTCAAATATGTTCTGGCGGCTGCTGCTTCTCTGCAGTAATCACCCTTCTGTCCATATCCACCGAAAGGAAGGCGCGGGGGAGGAAAGTAAAAAGCAGGAGGAGGAAGAAAGCTTGGTCTGTGGAAAGGAACAACGCAGAAGAAAAGGAAAAGGCCCAAATCTCTGGCACTTCCAAAACGGCGCGGGGGCTTCGGACGGGCGATAAGCAGGCTCCCTTTCCCCCTCGTGGTCCCTCAGCTTGATCTGGGAGGACTCCTCGTCTCTCGGTTCGCCTTTCTTGCCTTATTTCTCTCGATCTTCTCGGCGTGCCGTGGGGAGCCGCGGTAACAGAGCGCACATCCTCCCAGCTCCTCTTTCCAGCAGAGACTGAGAGTGCCTGAGAGCTGAGCTAATGCAGGCTGGCTCAGCCTCCCTCACCACCACCACCACCACCACCACCACTCCTCC